ACACATGGACAATAAAAATTGCACCATGTTGAAATCATATTCTTTATTGAATGCATTTTTATTGCATCATGTTGTGTATTATTGCTTTTATTTTTTGTTTCTTTTTGTTTTTTAGTGTTTCTTTTTGTTGTATTGTGTTGCTTTTTGTTGTTTTTTGTTTCTTATTACTATTTATTTTTTATTTAATGTGTTTATTATTAATTTTATGTTCACTTGAGTTTCTATTTATTTGTATTGCTTTGAAATTAAGAACCAACACGTGAACACCTATTATGATAAAAATTGCACCTGCGAGTAAAAAGAAACACAAGTAAACAATTAAAAACAAGTTATGAAGAATTAGCAACAAAAATAAACAAGAAAACAACACAAAGCAACAAAATGAAACAACAACAACATTATAATCATAGTAATTAATAGTAAAATTGCTTTGTGATATAGGAAAGTAAATAAATAATATTTTTTATATTTTGATGTATTTTATACAACTTTTACTGTTTAAAATTGATATTTTTATTTCTAAACTTTTTATTTATACATTTTCTACTCGAGTTTTATACTTTTTTTATTTATTTTATTTTTTGAAATTTTTTCCCTCTTTTATTTTATATTTAAATTTTTAGTTTCCATTTTTTCGATTATGGAGAATTGTTTTTATCAATTTTCATTTTTTTATGTTTATGTTTACATTTCACTATTTCTCTTTCATTTATTTTTTATTTTTTACCTTTTCATAAATTTTCAAACTTGGAAATATTGTTTCCATTTCTTTTAACACTTACTTTTCCTTTTTTAAATTTTGAGAAAAATTTTCGTCAATTTTTTACTTTTAAAATTTTTACTTTAACTCTACTTTATTTTTATTAGTTTTTATAACTTTTATTTCTAGTCTTATTCAGAAATAAGTTATTTCTCTTAAGATTTTATTAGTTATCTGTATCTAGGTACATTAAAAACTTATTTATTTATTAGATGTAATTTCACTTGTATTCAATAATTTTGTGTCAATTCCACATTTAGTTCACGTATTTTATTTTTTCACTTTTGATACTTCACTAATAATGTTTATTGACTATTTATAGTGTTTCCGTCCAATTTTTGACGCTTCTCCGACGATATTAACAAACGAAAGTATCGACAAAATGACTATATATGTGCGAAAAACATGCATACATCAAAAGTGGCCACAGTAAAATCGTGGACTAATTGTGGAACTGTTAGATACTCATAGGATCAAAAGTGGAATTTATTCTTCGTTAATTTATTGTCAATCTAATTTTTCATTTTGGTTGTTTTTATAATACCTACAATTTTTTAATTAATTTTCATATCTTTTACCATTTTTTCATTTGGAAATTCGTAATAATAATTTTCTACGATCTAACGTTTCAGAAACTTTGGTTACTTTTTGAAAGTTTTTCTTAATTTTTTTATCTTCTTACGGACTTACCGTTCGTTTTGTTTGAAATGCATGCGTAACAGCGTAGATAAAATTTTGTTGATGATGTACGGTTACTGTTTTAGGAGCAGGTTTTAAGATTAGTGCTTCAATGTTTGGGATTGAGCCGTACGTTGATGAGTTGAGGACTACTTTTGAAAAGAAAATCGTTGTTAGTCTATTGTTGAAAACAATTTGAAAAACTGAAAAAAATGATATTATTTTCATTTTTAGTTTATTTGTGAAAAATTCCCAATTCAGTATCGTTCTCGGACCTCCTTTGAAACAAGGGAAACCAGAATCCTATAATATGCTCCCTCTATCTAGGGATGGACTGGGCCGGTTCGGTCCGATCCGGTACTTGGCCTGACCCGTTATTGTGCAGGATCGGCCCAGCCCGGCCGACTGGGACTGGGATCGGGGACCCGAACTGGGGATAGGGCGGGCGGGCTACGGGACGAAGATAATGCTGATCGGCCCGCGTGTTTGGGACTGGTTCAGGCCTAATGGCTACTTTAAAAAAATTGTTTAAATTTTTAAATGGCTTTGCGGCCATGTGTGGGGTGGCCAAATGGCTCTATAGCCGTTGGAGGCTGTCTAGGGGATTGGGGGGTTTCGGGAGGTGGGGGGTAAAAAAATCTATAAATACTCCTAATTTCTAGGCATTTTGCAATTTTTCTTACTCTCTATTCTCTAATACTCTCTAATCATCTCCATATTCATCGTCTCCAATTCTCTCTACACCTATTAATATATATCATATCTATTTAAATTAGGCACACAATTATTATACCTACTTATATATTTATTATATACTTATAAATACATATATTATATCTACTTATATTTAATATCTACTTAATATATACTTATTATCTACTTAATATCTACTTATTATATACTTGTTATTTACTTATACTTACATATTATATCTAATTAATATATATTAAAGTATTAAATATAAGTGTACTACTCATCTTATAGTAGTATACTTATATAATATATACTATAAACATTAGATTATATATAATATATATTATATTAAGTTATATTATATTATATTATATTATATTATATTATATTATATTATATTATATTATATTATATTATATTATATTATATTATATTATATTATATTATATTATATTATATTATATTATATTATATTATATTATATTATATTATATTATATTATATTATATTATATTATATTATATTATATTATATTATATTATATTATATTATATTATATTATATTATATTATATTATATTATATTATATTATATTATATTATATTATATTATATTATGTTATATTATATTATATTATGTTATATTATGTTATATTATGTTATATTATGTTATATTATGTTATATTATGTTATATTATGTTATATTATGTTATATTATGTTATATTATGTTATATTATGTTATATTATGTTATATTATATTATATTATATTATATTATATTATATTATATTATATTATATTATATTATATTATATTATATTATATTATATTATATTATATTATATTATATTATATTATATTATATTACATTACATTACATTACATTACATTACATTACATTACATTACATTACATTACATTATGCTCAGCCGTGGACAATTTGCTAAGGGAGTAAGGGCCACCTCCAGAGCAGCTTGGAGTTCCTTCTTCTCTTTAGCGGCCGCCTCCTTCTCGAGCCGAGCTGTTTCCTGTGTCGCTTTCAGGGCGTTATCAGCCCTCTACTTCGCCAAGAGGGCATCCGCGTTCCTCGCATTCTCGGACTGTAAGATATACAAACCGACCTGCAACAAAAGGAAGGGGTAAGGAACTGTTGGTCAGAACAAAGTGAGTAAACAAAGGAACATGCATACCTGGAAGCCCGTCGTCAGCGCGCTGTAGATGGCTTCAGGGGACGGATGGGGTAGGAGCTGCATCTCCAAATGGAGGGCGAATTCCCTCCAGGCTTTGATAGTCGGGCGGCTGAGTGGGGGTAGCCCGATATCCTGTATGATCGGGTAGGAAGGATCAGTGTGAGGCCTTTTCCCCTTCTTCTCTTTTACCGTCCGCGCATGGCGGGTAGTAGAAATCCGCAGAGGGTCCACATCCTGTATGTTTCCCCTTCGGGGGTATGCTTAGGAACGGTTCAGACGATCTGCATCCCAGTTTCTTGGCGCTTCTCATCCTGAGCGGCTGTGGAGGAATCAACCCCCGAACTCTAGACCGACTGAGCTGCAGCAGCCTTCTCCTTGGCAGCATAGGCTTTGGCATTCTTGGCCTCCCTCTCAAGCTTCAACGCATCATAATCCATTTGCTTCTAGGTTGGGGGAGGACATGTAACAGAAAGATTGATATTGGAACCGGGCGGCATGAATCTCAAAGGACGCTTACCTCAGAAACTGGATGACCCGGAAAAATCTCGACAAGTTTAGAAGGGGGAGTTATCATCCCAGAAGCACGAGCGGTACCTATCCCCGCATCAGAAAGCGCCATAAAGGTGAGGTAAGGCTCTAGAAGCTCGTAGCCGCCTTTCTTCAACGTGTTGATGGCTTCCTCCAGCCCATCGGTTAAGCTCGGCGGCCCCACTTTCGGCAAGTATCCATTCCACCACTCGGAAAGATGACCCTCGGGGAAATGGAGGAAGAAGAACCGATGTTTCCACTCGTGGATAGATGTAGGTGCCCCATGGAATAACCTCCGCCCGGGACGGGCACTAACACATGAATCCGTCCGAGTTTTGGGGGGAAACCTTGAAGACGCAGTGAAAAAGATCCAAGCTCAGATCTACGCCCGTATCTGAGCATCGGGCAATAAGGCCGAGATGAACCGAAAGGAATTCGGCATGCATGAATTGGGCAGGGACGACCTTATGTCGATGGAAGAAGTCAAGATAAAATTGATGAAGAGGGAACCATAGCCCGGCCTTAATCGAATCCAGATGCACCATCAGCATACCCGAGCGCCTTTTTAACGCATGCTGCCCCCCCCCCCCCCCCCCCCCCCCGCAAACTGTAGACAAGCGGCAGGGGAGGTATAGTCGCATTTCTTGCAGAGCCTTGTAAGAAAAAGACTGATTGATTCCATGGGCGTTCTGTAGGGGCACCACATGGCGTGGGACATCCTGGGGCATACCGAACTCGAAGATCGTCAGGTCATCCCCATCATGAGCTTCATTCCCCGAATCATAATCTTCAGGTTGAGGTTCGGCAGTCTCTTCCTGAACGCCCCCTTCTTGGTCAGCGTTCTCTTGGACGATATCGCCTCCGACATTATCATGGGGAGCGACATCTCCCCCACACCATCAATGATAACCCCTCCGATCGTGGCCAAGGACTCAGAGCTGCATGAAGAACTGGTCTGCCCGGAAGACCCGGATTCTGAACCAGATTCAGAGGATGAACGAGAATCCGCGACTATCTCCACAGGGTCCACCATTGATAAAAACCCTACACCATCCACAGGAACAAGTATTTATAGGCAACTCCACCACCCGAAGACCCAGTGATGGAGCGACACATGGCTAGGAGCGTATGCAAGGACACGTGTCGCGTGGAGGTCAACAAGTGCGTAATGATTACCTTCACATTGGAAGCTGAACTGTTCCGCCATAACCGTCACCTAGGGTTCTGTGAACCGCATAAAAACAATAACTGTCGCATCAAGAGCGTCAATGAAGCTCAGTTCGGAGGAAGCGTTTATACTTCCTCATGTCCCGCGCTGCTCGGAACATCAGAAGTGGGGGACTTGTGTTGGGTTAATAGGCCCGATTGTGGATCGGACCATTACCCATTAGCACATAAACCATCAGGGCCCAATTTGGGCTCGGTCCATCGAGATGCCTAACTAGACGCTCGTCTCCACTAAGCGGACGCTTGGCCCCAGCTCCCTTGATCTCGTTAGCCAGGTGGTGGCCCAGGGGGATATGGTGAGGACGATGAGCATGGACCGCTCGGAGTCGGCACCCTTGTGCTGGTATGCACCCAGAGCTCAACAGCGAGTGGATGAACGTCCAGGCCTCTTGGCGGGAAACCAAGATATTGGCGGGTAGCACATTTAATGCAGTTGATTTGGGGGTTGAGAAGCTAGCCACTCACAATCATCCACATCATCAGTGTCACCTACCTCTTGGTAGTATAAATAGTACTCCCTCCGTCCCACTAACAACGGGACAAGAGGGAGTGGCACACAAATTAATAAAAAGTGGTTTATGTGGTTGATCATGAATTGATAAAGTAAGAATAAAGTAAGAATGATTTAGAGCCACACAAACTTTGCGAAATTTGGTATGGGACAATCTTAGTGGAACGAACCGATAAGGTAAAACGGGACAATCATAGCGGGACGGAGGTAGTAGCAATGATTTCATTGTAAGGGGTTGTTGAAGGTAAGTCCCGTAGATCCGAAAGCCCAACACGAACTTTGGATATATCAGGAATGAACCAGAATCAAAGTGTATAACAAATTATAAAAGATGAATCCACTAATACCCAAAAGCCCACTTGTATTAATTAACCTTTCTGATTACAAGGAAAACTTCCCGATCGGTAGGTCAGAACAGTGCTTTAATACAAGAAACAAAAGTAATAATGCTATTCTAGAGCTTGAGTATCGAAATGCTAACCCTTACAATGATTTTAAACCTTCTATTTATACTAATGGAGAGCATGGGCTGCTCTATGCTGATTGGCCGTTGCTCCACCGACTTGAACATCCATGCTTCCACTTGCTGATGTCACAATCTGACATTAATTGCACCTGGCCACTTGCTGATTGCCCGTTGCTCGAACGGGATGCTAGACCTTGCGGATGACGCTGTCAATTTGGCCCAAGTATGATATATGGTCCGAACCCCGTTCGGTATGGATTCTTTATTGGGCCTGCTCATCATAGAGCAATGGATCCGTTGTTTGGGCCGGGTATCCTGGGCTTTTTTTATCCGGGTATTGGGCCTCTAGATCAATATCCCAACACAAGTCCCCCACATCCGATGTCTCGAATGACAGTGAGTGCATTAGGAAGTATGAACACCAATGTTGCAACTGCCGAAGGGCGATCGGGGTACAGAAGTGGCCAGTCCCTCATACTGTGATTTGACGGCTGTCGTTTTACTTTCCCCATATTCATCATGATAACCGTCGTTTAGTCTTTTCATTAGACACGCGTTTAGCTTAAATGCTTCTAGTGACGTGTCGCTTCCTGATTGGTCCTCGATACGGCGGTTTAAAGGCTATAAATTAGCCTTTAACTTTTCAAATTCGGGTTTCGATTCTGCAATTTCCTTCGCATCGTTGCTCTCTCTGAAATTTCTTCAAGATTTCGTTGTTCAGGTACTTTCCCTCCCTCTACTTTCTCGACTCATTCCTGGCTCGGTCGAGATGAATTCCCAACGGTGTTCCGATTCGGAAATGGCTTCTCAAGGGGAGGACCGTGATGTGGAGATTATCACCGTCCCTTTTGACGAGGGTTCCAAGGCGGCGACGGTGGAGGTTAGGGCGGAGACGGATGATTCCTCCGACAGCTCTTCTTCCTGCAGTGAAGATTCTGATGATACCAAGTTCGAAGATGAGCTAATTTCCATGGCGGCCGGACGTCCCAACGATTTCCCTCGTCATACACTTGACCTAAAACTGATTAGGGAGAGGCGGCAAAAACTGACCTCCCACAATAGGGCCGAAATTCCGGCCCTAATCCCATACCCAGTGAATTTCCGACCGCGAGTTGGGCTTCACCCAATGCGCCATAGCCCTGGGATGGTTGTAGTCCATTTTGATTCAATTAGGGCCGGGCTTAGGTTTCCGTTACATTCTTTTTTCGTTTCATTTTTTAATTTCTACGAAATTGTACCGGCCCAAATCATGCCGAACTCCTATCGGGCAATGGCGGGCTTTATTTGCCGTTGTAAAGATGCCGGTGCCCGGCCGACCTTAGATCTATTCCACCAATTCTTTAAGGTAGCCCCTCAACAAACACACAGCTATTTGGCCACTAGTGCCCGAACGGGACATATCCTGTTCAAGGGCAATCCGACTTCGATCAAGGGGTGGAAAGATCGGTTCTTCTTTGTGTCTGTCTCGGACGGCCTGGTTCCCCGCAAATGGAATGCCTTTCCCCGCAAATCTCCTGATCCAGTCCTTACTGAGGAAATTTACAAGGATGTGCTTGCTGTGGAGAAGGATAAATGTGTGGATATCATGAGTTATCTGACTCCCGATCGGCTAATCGAAGCCGGGATAGGTACTGCCCGTTCTCTTGGGTTTACTTGTTTTGAGAAATCAAGTGCCATGGTCCGGGCGGTCCTTCCCGTGCGAGAAACGTTCTCTTCTTTTTTTCTAGTTTCTCACATGCTAAGGCCGCTCGGTACTAACATTTTCCTTTGTCATTTTTCAGCTCCAAATCCAGACGTACCCATGGACAACAACAGAGTTCTAGCAGCTAGTGGGGTTGGCAAGCGGAAGAAGGCCAGGAAGAACCCCCAACCTACTCCCTCCACTATTACTGCTCAGGACGCTGGGTCTTCTCAACCAGTTCCAGAGCCACAGCCACTGCAACAGGTCCATCAAGACCAATTTGATGCCATGCTGGTCGACGATCGGTTTGGTTCTGATCAGATGCACCAATTTCTTGAGCACTTCCAAGCTGCTCAGGAGACTGGTCAGGGTGCGGGTGATATGCCCTCCGTCCAGCTGTCTGGCCAGGTCAACCGGATCTCACTGGCGGATCCGGTTCATGACGTTGTAGAAAGAGGTGGATGTTCAGCGAGCCAGATTTGGTGTACCTCCGCTTTCTTCAACAATTTCACCGTTCCTAAGCTGTCGGTCGAGCAATATGAGGAATGCTTGGCCTTAGCAGCCCTGAAGGTATTTTACTTTTTTCCCTATATTTCTCATAGTTTAAATTCCCTCACACCATCTCATTTCTCGAACGACATTCTGCAGGTTGGGATTTACAGTTTGCAGCTGAAAGAGGCTCGACTGGCTAAGGAGCGGGAGCTGATCGTCGCTCAGACTTCTGTGGAGCAGAATGCAGCTGCTGCTTTAGCTGCTCTGGAAGCCGAACGGAAAGCCTCTGCGGAGGAGAAAAAACGCCTCGAGTCGGAGCTTGGTGAACTCCGGGTTCAGCTCGGGGCCTCTTAATCCAAAGTTCATGCTGCCGAAGCTGCTTTGGTTAAGTTTGAAGAGTGCGCCCCCCGTATCCCGGACGGCCCTGCTGAGGTAAAGGTTGATTTGTCTGCCGTACGGGAATCATTCAAAGGGTCTGAGGAGTTCGCTATTTTGAAGAAAGACTATGCGCAACAGGAACTCCCTGTCACCTTTGGTGATTATCTCGAGCGTTTCTCCACGGGTGATGCCCGCCGGAGCGAGGGGGTCAAACTGCTCGACCAGGACCCAAGGGGCAAAAAGTTCAATGATTCCCTGGCCCGATCTCTGTACGTCATGGGCTGCCAGCACATTATGGCCCCCTTTGTCGCCAAACTGCAAGAATTGCTAGGGAGGCCGGTCAAGCTGGCTGATCTTCCCCAAGCGCCCATCGTTGAAGCCCAATACGAAAAGTATCAACGGGACTTGCAACGGGCTGCTGACCGTGAAGCGGGGAAGGAGCCTGATCCCCCTACTGACTCAGATGAGGAGGAAGGTGATGAAGAAGATAATGGAGTGGAACAGTAGATTTGATATTTTTAGCAATTGTAATCCCTTCCCCCCTTCTCCTTTTTTGCAAACCTTACGTGTATTTTCCGGTCGATAGAGACGATGAATATATATATTATCTCTTTTGCACAAAGTTCCATATACTGTCTTTTTTGCCTTAATTGAATGATTGCTCACCATTCGGGATTCGGTCCGTTTTGTAGGACTTAACAGTTTTCTGACTATTTTTTACTTAACACCCCTAACACCGTATGATTGCCGCTCGGGCAGTAGATAGTTCTGACAATTTACCAGGGACTAGCCCCCTTCTTTTTGTGTTGATGGCCGTTCGGGGGTCTGTTCATATTTTAGGACTTAGCAATTTTTTCTGGCCGCAGACGTTTCCGTCAGTTTACCGCATTTGGCTTCCTTCATATGTTGATAGCCGTTCGGGCTTCTGATCATTTTTTAGGACTTAGCAGTTTTTCTGGCTTCAGATGTTTCCGATAGTCTACCCGCATTTGGCTTCCTTCATATCTTGATAGCCGTTCGGGCTTCTGATCATTTTTTAGGACTTAGCAGTTTTTCTGGCTTCAGATGTTTCCGATAGTCTACCCGCATTTGGCTTCCTTCATATGTTGATAGCCGTTCGGGCTTCTGATCATTTTTTATGACTTAGCAGTTTTAGTGTGATCTTTGCTAATTCTCTGTGAGCCCGTTCGTCACTCGGCTTAATTTGAAACATCTTAGTTATTTGGCTCACTGTTCGTTAATTGGCGATTTGAGTAGTATTTAGCTGTTCTCATGGACCTTGTTGCTTTTCTTTGTGTGAAAAGATTTGCCTCAAAACGTAAGTGCCCGTTCGACGTTCGCTTGCCTGGTTAACTAGTACTCGCAATCATGCTTCTTCATTGCCCGCTCGGGGTACGTGCCTAACAATGAACCATAGATACACCCTGATTAATCATAATCACGTAATGCCACGTCTTATTCATGGATTAGGTTTTTTGAACGGCACTTTCTCTATTAATAGAGAGGTGCTTTATCCTCATTTTTCTTGCTGTTTCAAGTCTTTTTCTCTCGCGTATCTCCAAGCTTTCTCTCTCTAGAATTCTCAAGATTCCTCAATTGATTTTATGTATTTCCCTTCTAGCTCAGAATCTGAAGAAATGTCGTTGATTCGTGTAGGAAAAAATTCTGCTGGGAACAAGGCTGAAGGCTCTTCTTCCCAAGTACCTAATTCCGGCAATCCTCTCGCAGGAAAAGATACCGAACAGCCTCGTGATGACGGATGCCTATCAGAGGACGACGTTCAGATCTATAACAAGGGAATGCCCGAGCGGCCACCCCGCATTGCCATGCACTTTAACCGCATTCGTAAATAGAAACAACGTCTTCCTGAAGATGTCGAACGACAACTTGGCCAAATATTGCCTCCACCAAGAGAGTATTATGCTGGATTCATCCAACATCCAATGAGGCATCGACCGGGACACGTGCTAGTGCATCTTGATGCATTGATTGCTGGGCTTCGCTTCCCTCTTCATCCGTTCGTTGTGGAGTTCCTGTGTCGGGTTTCTGTACTACCCGCTCAGTTCGTACCTAGTACCTACCGCATCCTGACAGGCTTCATAATTCGATGCCAGGAACTGAGGATTGCTCCAAGTGTTGACTTATATCTACATCACTACTGCTATCAGCCTTATTGGATGACCGGGTATCTGAAGCTGGTAGCCCGATCTGATCGTCAATTGTTTACAGATAATCCTACCCTGTCGGCTGACTGGGAGGAGCGATTTCTATTCGTTCGGGTAGGTGATTCTCTGCCATTTCCGGATCGGTGGAACGCCTATCCCGTTCGGGATTCTCAGCCCAGAGTAGATGCCGTTCTACGCTCCAAAGCTGAATCTCTGCGTATGGGAGGAACTCGAAGTCTTCAGGATTTTATTACCCCTTCTAACATGCTATCTGCCGGGATTGGTAAGTGTAATAGGGTTTTAACCCGATCATCCTTCCTTCTTTCAATTTAGTTTCTTATCTCTTATTCCCTTTGTTGTAGGTGTGATACCCCCATACCCGTTCGGCGTTCCATATCTGCCACTACTCTGACAGCTTCCTCCGGAAAGGGCAAGGAGAAGATGATTGCCGATCATGCATCTGCTGAGCAGGCCCGAAAGAAACTGTTGGTCCCGGTTATACTGGATACAGTCTAGAGGGGGGGGGGGGTGAATAGACTGTATTGGTTTTTAGCTTTTTAAACTAAGTACCAGATTTACAGAATAGCCTGTTCTGTTGAAGGAATAGACTGGCAGCGGATGGGGTTCTGGTAGGGAGTTCTGTTAGCCTTAGAGGAGCAGAGGCAGTAGGCCTTCTGTTAACTCGTAGAACAAGTTCTGCTGAACACAGATACCAAGTTCAAGGAGTTATACAGTTCTAACTAAGTGCAAGTATTAAAAGCAGTAAGTAAACGACACCAGGGATTTTTATAGTGGTTCAAGGAACAACTCATTCCTCTATTCCACTGTTCCACTAAGCTGTAAAAACTGCCGTTTACAAAGTCTTAGTCCTAGCACTTAAGAAGCACTCCACGTCTTCTTCAAGCCTAGATGTGTCCTGGGATGCACTGCCTGGCTTCCTTTAACACTGGTCCTTTCACTGAGTTTCCTTGAAGTATCACCACTTCACTACTCCAGTTATTCGGACGTCCTTCTTGTAGCAAGAAGAGTTTCTGTTGAAACAGGGGTTCCTCCAACTAGCTTCGTTACAAAAGATTTGTATGTGATGAGCTTGAAGAGTTGAAGAACACTTGGAACTTTGCTTGAGTTGGAAAGAGTATTTTTCCAACTTCTGCCTTCTCTTGTAGAAGATAGTGAGTTTGAATCTCAAGGAGGCTTTTGCTTTTCAGAGTTTGAATATCTTGCTTGTGGTTTGCAAAGTTGTAGCAAAATTATGTAGGCAAAGTTGAATCAAGGTTGCAAAGTTATCCGGTTGTTCTTCGTAGTGTATCTTTTATACTGAGGTTGTCTTCCCGTTGGAGGAGTAGGAGGACAACTGCATTTAATGCGCGAGCAGTTGACTTGACCAGTAGGACCCGGTAAAGTTGGCGGGTTACTATTTCGGGATAAAGTAATCCTGACATTGCGGCCAATCATCTGCAATTACTCCACGGAGCATGGGGAGCATTAAATGAGCATTTAATGCGGGCACTGTAGCTTTTCCGTTTCATACTCCTAGCCGTTGAAGGAATCTTTAAGTTGACTTCCCGGCTTTGTGGATTTCTTCCAAGTGTCAGACCTTCTGGTGTTATTGGCAGAGAACTGAATCAGAGAAGATCATGAGCACTTCTGTTGTTGGTAGCTTACAGAGAACCAGGAGGGTTTCTGTCGCGCTAAAGGGTAACAGAGACCCTGACGTATTCTGTTCCTAGACAGAGAACCAAGATCTTCTGTCTGGAGGACTTCTGGTAGAGAGGCCTTTTGGTAGTCGAATATGCTAAGAACTTTACAAGGGAAAATTCTAATACATAATTTCTAAAGGGGTACTCTACAGTCCTAATTAATATAGCATCATCAAAATCTAAATACAATTATTCCTTACAATTTCCCCCTTTTTGATGATGCCAAAACCCTTTAACTATTTCCAGAGAAGTGCCTTCACCATAAAAATTTAAAGTTTAAAACTTTTCATTAAAATCTTGGTGGGCAACTTGGCATAGGAAAATAGTAAGAGTACGATACATTCAGATAGCAGAAAAATTATCACAAAGCAAACAAACAAACAAACACAAACAGAAAGTAAGGAAAAGCCAGAGATTGAGGAATTGCCTTACAAAGTGTGAGGCAGAGATGTTCTTTTATTAAGGTGGATTACAAGAGTGTCTGATTACATAATAGCCTTGGCTGCTTCAGCTCTTGCTTGTTCATCCAGTCCTTGTAGTCTCTTTAGTTCTGCATTCACCTCTTTTCTGATTCCAGCCAGATTTCCAGTTCTTTGGTAAGAAGCCCAGACAGGTGAGAGTTTGCAGTCTAAGTAGTTAAGAACACCTTCATGGATATCTTTTCCTTGTACTATACTGTTGTGAAACCAGAATTCTGCTTCCTCCAGAGATCCCCCATGTCTGACCTTCACATGACCATCATGGTCCAAATACAGATTCTGTTGTTGAGTAGAGGTCATCTTCTGCTTCATTTCATCAAATTGTGTAGCAGTCATCACCTGAGAACCTCCCATTCTCCATTCTTTAAAGCTTAGAGCTTTCTTTTTCTTAGATCCTTTCTTCAGTGGGGATGGAGGTCTAGGGATACCAGCTAGCCTTTTCTTCTGAAGGGCAGCCTCAAAGTAAGGTGTGGGATCCACACTTGGTTCAGCAGATGTTGAGGTTCTGGTGGTCCTGGGTTTTGGTAGATGAGGGACTTCTTCCCCCTTTTTGGCATCATCCAGGTCAGAGATCATCATGGCAATTTTCTGGAACTCTGTTGCCTGGGAGATGGCTATCTGCTCAAGAGCTTCTGGCAAGGTCTGCGTGACAGAGGTCAGACCTTCTATTAAGTTCTGCTGACGATCAAGAGCAGATTTGATGTCCTGAGATCCAGCTTCAAGTTGTATCAGCTTCTGATATCTTTCTTGATCCTTCTTGATCAGGGTGGCCACTTGATCTTTGTGATCATTATTCAGGAGTTGTAGCTGCATAAACTTCTCAGCAGATTGATCTTCATACCATTGTACAATGTCCAGGGATTCTGTTGTGTCCTTGAGTTGCTTACTCTGCTTGTTGAGGATCTGAGACTGGGAGTAGAGAACAGAGTGGACACCATCCACTTCTCTGGCAACAGCATTAAGCTTTGCAGAAGATGATTCCATGAAGGTGACCAATGTCTGGGTCAGAGCTTCAACCTTCTCTGAGATATGCTGAAGTCCAGCCTCAAGATGATTGTGGACAAAGGTGAGATGTTCATGGTGCTTGGTGTTGATCTCAGCCAATTGATCCATGCCATCAAGCATTTTACCACCAAAGTCTTCAGCTGCAGTGACAAACTGATTGAAGGAGATTTGAGGCTTGTCTTCTTTGGATTCAGTTTTCCCAGGCATACCTAGACCTCTTGATTTAGGCATAGGAGGCCTTCTGGGTTGTTCTTCACTCTGAGGAGGGGTCTTCCTCCTTTTGGAAGTTTCATCAGTAGCAATGGAGGATGTAAGAAATCCATCATTGTCACTGGAAGAGGAGGGCACCCTGAAGATAGGCTTCCTGATGGGGGTAGAAGCCACAGAATGTTGAGGGGAGATAGGTGTGGCTGCATCTTGTGGTGTAGGCTGTGGAGAAGCATTTCTGGATTTGTTGATGGAGGTGTTTTCTTGTTGATGTGAGGGAGCATGCTGTTGTTGTGGAGGAGAGGGTGGAGGTGATGGTGATCTGGATCTGACTGAGGGTGGGGATTTGCAGGGAGATGGATTTTTGGTTGTGGGTGAAGAGGTATTCTGTTGGGGTGAAGTTGTAGAGGAGATGATATGTTGGTGTTGGTAAGGGATAATTTGTCCTTGAGGGGATGGTGATTTGTTCTTGGGAGGAGAGAACGGTTTGCAGTGTGAAGGAGATGAAGATTTGGGGGTGGAGGGTTTCTGGTGTGAAGGGGTTTTCTGTGCAGAGATGGTTTTCTGTGGGAGTGAGGGGGATTTCTGTTGGGGTTGGGGAGAAGTGTTTTTAGGAGAGGGAGGGGGAGAAGGAATGATTGTGGGAATTACCTCTAGTACAGTTTCAGTGAACAGAGAGTCTCCCCATTCTTTGATAAGTTTTTCCATGACCAGAGGTAGGTCATTGGCAGTAGAGGGTTCACCTTCTCCATGTGCACTGTGTCGAAACTTGATCATTGACTCCTTCCTCTTCTTCTCAACTAGCCAAGCATCAAAGGCGTCCATCTCATGCTCTTGAAGAGCCTTCACATGGTCTTCTGGTGAGTTTCTGACCAGAGGTGCTTTGCCTTGAAGTTTCTCCTTCTTCTTCAGTAGGACAGAAAGAAGAAAATCCTTGTTGAGGCAGGACTCCACATCTTCTGTGTCAGCCCATCTGAGTACTTCTTCTTCTTCAGAGATGAAGTAGGACAAGTTCTTGAGGAGCTCAGTGAGACGTCCCACTCTCCACTTTCTCCATGCCAGAATCCTGATGAATTTCCTATCAGGACTAGAAGTACTGCTTCCTTCTTGGTGTTCTGGTGAAGGAACCACCATAGGTTGATCATTTGCAGAGGCAGGAGGAGAAGAATGTAGTTCCCCCTGAGAAGTGGCATTCTGCACAACTTCTTCTTCTTCTGAGTCACTTGACTCAAAGATGATCCTCTTGCCGTGCCAAGCATTTCTGTTGACTGGGGCAGAGATGACAGAGTCCTCCAGCTTCTCCTGTGCTGCAGGTGTCAAGATTTTGGCCTTCTTTGCAATGGGGGAGGCAGAAGGGGTGCTTGCTGAAGAGATAGGTGAAGGAGCCTTTCTCTTAAGGACAGATTTCTTTGCCACCAACTTGTGGACTTTGACAGGTGTGATCTTTTTCTTGGGAACCTTCTTGACCACCTTCTTCACCAAAGGTATTTCTTCTTCAGAGTCAGAAGGGGTAGGGGGTTTCTGTTGCTTCTTTGAAACTTTCTTTGGTTGAACAACCTTCTGTTGTTGCCTTTCTCTGTTGAACTCAAGGGTTCTGAGTCTTTTCTGCTCTGCCTTGAGAGCAACTTTCCTGTCACTTGAGGTGTTGAGGAAGAGCAGCTTGGTGTAGTCTGCCTCAACAGAGTTTCTCAGCCCTATCCTTGTTGTGAGCAGGATTTCAGAGATTAGGAGACCATAACCCATGGGGGTCCTGAACAGACCGGTTTCCTTGTCTTTCTTCTTGATGAACTCAACAAGGGATTTGACAATTACTTGTCCCCAGTTGATGTTCATCCCATGATGAACTGCAAAGACAGCCTTTGCATTCAGCGCATTCATGTCATCTGTGGAGGTGCTCTTGCTCCAGACACACCTATGCAGGATGTTGACCAATTTCTCATAGTCGCTCAGGAGGAGGTTTTTCTTCATGTAGAGCTTTGGAACTCTACCCACTTCAGGTCGGCAATAGAGTTGGACAAAGTTGTCCACAGTGACGTTGACACTGTCCAGAGTGAGGAAACCTTCAGTTTCTTCTTCTTGTGGGTCCTCTATTACGCCAAAGAGAGCGTTGAGGTCTGCAGGAGTGAGGGTAATGTCTTCACCATTGACATTAGAACGAATGGTCTCCCCTTCGTATGTAGCGTTGAGATAGAACTCTGCTACATCCCTTGTACTGTAGGACTCAAAGTGATAACCTACCACTTTGTTCAGTTGGGAGTCCTCCATTCCCTTGATGATCTTCATCATCGTGTCGTGGTTTGAAGCGAGTTCAGGGAGTGCGGAGAGGTCGCAGTTCATCCCTGTGTAAATATTTGAAACAAGAGTGTTGATTTCCTCCTTGGTGAGGTCGTTGATGTTGATGAAAGCCATTTGATCAGAGAAGATTTGCAGAAAGCTTGAGAGCTATGGAGGTTTGAGAGTTTGAAAGTAAGGAGAGCAGTAGCGGTTTAGGTTTGCGAAAGGGGAATTTATGGGTTTGG